TGAATATTTGCAAAAGTAATGTTGTCTGCCAAAACTGTGTCTCGAATCTCAGTGAGTTTTATGCCATTGTTTCTGGTGACCATATCAACAATGGCAGTTTCCTGCACATCAGTGAGCATCCTTCCTCTCTCACCTGTGTGAGGTAACCGTTGAGTCCTAAGCAGAAATGCTGAAGCAATTACACACAAGTCTATTTACTTCTGTAATGTGCAACTCAGTCAAATGCCCTTGCAGAATACAAGTTACCTGTTGGTTTGCCGGAAAACTCTAACAATAGATGCCACTGTTGAGCGTTGCAGATTTGGCTGCACTCTCTGACCAGCCTCTCTCATTGAGAGACCATGATTTACTACATGATCAATTACAGTAGCTCTGATCTCATCTGAAACTACAGCTCTTGGTCTTCCTCTTATTCTTCTTCCACCACGCATACGTATTCCTCGCCCCCTCCCAGCCCCTCTTCTTCCTCTTTCAGCCACTTCTCTGTTTCTGGCTGGGTCCATGTTTACATCACAATACAAAACTATTCAGCAGTTGTCTCCTTTTGTAATGAAATTGAAAGAGTAACACCTGTGTAGATGTTCATCTACAATGAGAATCAGCTGTGGTTGGTCCAATTGTCCACTTATTTTTATAGCATTTAATTTTAAGATGTAAAATATATTTCATTAAAATGTTCCTGTAGAAATGTAGCAAATTGCTGTCTTATTCAGTTTTGTTTTATGTTATTGTTTTGAACATAAGTTTAACAGTTTTGAAAACAGTATGTAAGCATGTGCAAATTGTCCTGTAGGTACACAGAGTTTTGGCGGTTGTTGTGTCGAAGTGAGAAAAGAATTAATGTAATTTGAAAGATGTAGTCATTGAATGCATTTTGTGCCAAAGCAATGATAAATGATCCACAGTTTAGCCCACATATACTTCTGTTGTGCTCACTGTGTGAAGAGTTTTGAAAAAGTGACCTAAGTATCGAGAAATGTGTCCTAGCGACTGTAAAAAACTGTAAATGTACGGTCCAGCAGCTGGCTGTAAACCAACTGTTTTGCGTCCTGATCATGTATTATTTGTAGGGAACAGGGCCTGAAGGGTAACCTGACTCCGCCAGATGGAATTGCTCCGCATATCCATCTGGAAACCTTCCGTTGAAGTAATTTTGGGAAGGGGCGAAAATACTGGTTAGCTGATTGGCCTATGTTGGTGATAGACGGGCCAAATAAACCCATCAGATCAACAAAGCATATGACGTACTAACAGAGCGACGACGAAAACACAACCACAAGCCAGGCTACTCTTGCCGAAACCAGTCGGGAGAAGAGCAAAAACATCTTTTCCTCTGAGAAAAGCCTCCAGAGCAGTGTTTTGCTCTTCTTTCAGTGAAGAAATACTCTGTAATTCCGATAAAACTTGCTCGATAGCCACGCTAACGCTAGTTTCATCGGCTGAAGCCGCCATGTTCTTTAGACCGAACTGTTGCGCTTCTCGTTGCGTCACACCTCAACCCGCCTCAAAGCCAACGCTGATTGGACGTTCGTTTGGTGAACGGCTCCAAATTTTCTTTAACGGAGAGTCTCCAGACTGATCTGCGAGTGAAACCTTGAAAGCTCGCAAGATCAGGATGGTCTCAGGAGGCTACCTGAAGGGGGCCTTGACTTTAGAGTACAGATCTCCTTAGTGTAATTGTGATTCTGACTTTGGATTCTGGAAAGTCACAGGTCTTGCCTTGTTTGCTCCAACACTGAAATCATTCAGATCACACTGGAAAAATTATGTAGAAATAAGTTTAAAAAAATTCTTAAATTAGGTGTATTTACCGTTAATTCGAGTAGGTAAATAAGATGAAATAAGACAATGGAATTGTGTTTTATTTAAATATAAATTATCTTGTTCCATTGGCAAAATGTCTCTTTTAGTTTCTAAAATTCAAGAACAAATGCACTTATTTTAAGAAACAGTTACTTATTATATTTATTTAAGTATTTAGATTAGTTTCCAGTGCAGCTTCAGAGAGGTTTTTTTTAATTATTATTTGGGATTGAAGGAGTTTAACAACAAGTATTCATCAGTATTTAAAGAATTTTGTGTTTAGATCATTAAAGGCAATTGAACTTCTTTTGCCATGATTGTAAATCATTATTTTCTGCATGTAGCGTCTATGGTTATAAAGGATTTCAGTTGTCTTCTTGCAGTAATCTCTTCTGAAGTCCAGCATGTTTGCCCTGCAGCGTCTCCTCAGCATGTCAGTATGGCTTATCTAATTTGATTGACGAACTGAAATGTTTTTTTTCCCACTCTCTGTCTCTGTTACAGAATTACTTTCTGACACTGCAGCAGAAAGTCTGGCAGGAGCAATCTGGGTCCAAATGATTCTATTGGGAGAGACTAGCGACATGCTCATATTTGGGTCATTTGGAACCGGCCCGTGTGGCTTCCACATAGATGTGAATAAAGCTGAACGCCACCTATAGAACCTTAGTTTTTACAAAAAAAAAGCTTCTGAAATGTAAGAAGATGCCAAGCCTGTTCAATTCAGTTTATTTGTATAAAACATGTCATCCAAATGCACTTTATAGAGACAATTCAATCAGACATCAGGCACTAAACTGAAATCATTGGACTCAAAGTGGAGAACAATGAGAGTTTAAAAAATGAGATAAGAGCTGGAGTGAGTGGAAAATGGAGGCTTGAGCTCACAGCATCCTAACTTCCTCCACAGTTTGTATCACACATCTCAATCGACTCAAATCACACAGAGAACGGATTATGGGTGTGATTTGGGTCCCTCTAGCAACACCCATATTTATTGAGCACCCATTATCCCCACCAAATTAATCCGCTTAAAGCAAACAAACTGCTGAGGCTAGTCTGTTTTTCAGTGCTTAGCTCTATTTCTCTCCTAGACATACAGCAGCTATGGGCTCAGCTTTTACTGTGACTATCTGGATGTTCTCTCTTTCATTCCTTTTGCCATGAAAACTGGTTCAGAGCTCATCCTCCAAGCTGCTTCTTTCCTAGAATGAGCTTTGTGATGACCTTGTATTGGCATTTGCTGACATATTCACGCATTTGCAGATTCATTTGTGTATTGAGCCTTGAAATGAAATGAAGCACGTGCATTACAGCTCCTTCCATTTTGATCCATTATTCATGTTTTGATTCATTTCTTTATAATTTTTTTTTTTCTGTTTAAATAGAGACTTGCATAAAGTTTGTTACGTTACTGTTATTTTTATTCTGTAAAGAAAAATCTATCAGATTCAAAAATCGACCCCAAAATCTGGTTTCTATTAGACTATTGTCTGATATAATTAGCATTTGTTAATCTCTAGGTAAAAAAAAAGATCTTTAATCTTATGTCAACCAAATTCATATTTTGAACATGCTCTCATTTATTGATTAAATATTTGGGATATCTCTAAAGCTGTGCTAATATAGACAGGCTGGTGGAGGACAAAGGGACAACTCTATAGGTTCTTCAATCCTGCAGTATTTGTTAGTTCATCCCCTAACGTTTTGCTCTCACTGCTTTTTCTCATCACAGCAGCTTCTTCTGCTTTACTCTCTTATACACTTTGTGCAGAATTTTTAGGCAAATGAGTATTTCGACCACATCATCCTTTTCATACATGTTGTTCTACTCCAAGCTGTATAGGCTTGAAAGCCAACTATCAGTGAAGTAAATCAGGTGGTGTGCATCTCTGTAATGAGAAGGGGCGTGGCCTAATGACATCAACACCCTATATAAGGTGTGCTTAATTATTAGGCAACTTCTTTTCCTTTGACAAAATGGGTCAGAAAAGAGATTTGACAGACTCTGAAAAGTAAAAAATTGTCAGATGTCTTTCAGAGGGGTTCAGCAGTTTGGAAATTACCAAGATTTTGAAGCGGGATTATCGCACAATCAAGCGGTTCATGGCAAATAGCCAACAGGAAGCGTGTTGAAAAAAGAAGACGCAAAATAACTCCTCATGAATTGAGAAGGATCAAGCGTGACGCTGCCAGGAAGCCATTAGCCACCAGTTGGGCCATATTTCAGAGCTGCAACATGTCTGGAGGGCCGAGAAGCACAAGGTGCTCAATACTCAGGGACCTGGCCAAGGTAAGGAAAGCAGAAAAAAGGCCACCTTTGAACAAGACAAAACGGCTTGTGTGTCTTGACAGCAACAAATCATTTGAAAAGAAAGTGCCAACTTTTCAGACCCCTTTAGCACTTTTATTTCAAAAAAGCACCTAGCGCCAAAACTAGCGACTTTTTTCTGCTACTGGAGACTTTGGACACAACATCTAAAAGCAGCGAACTCTGCTCTCCCAGAGCCAGTAGATTGGTAACCCCGCCTCCTGCTCTCCTCTATCTTGTCTGCTGTCATGATTCATGCAGCTATTATTTCATCCAAATGAAAAATGGAGAACAGAGAAGCAGATCATGGCTTGTCTACAGTGAAAAGAAGGACTGGGTTATTTACTTTGGCCTTTTTGGAAACACAGGAAGGAGCAATCAGCTAAGTGAGCTTAGTGCTTGGAAAAAATCTTTCATTCCTTTAGAGACAGCATGAAAAGTCAGCTGAGTACAAAACATAGAGAGGAAAACAAGAAGAAAAGGGACAAAACCTAGAACAGATAATGGATGTCTATTCTATTAACGTTTCTCTATCTGTATAACGGGTCTGTTTCAACTTCCTACAATTGGCTACTTTTCTGGAAATCCCCTCTTTAGAAAGCTTTTTCCTCCTATCGAAATATGAACTTTAATAAAAGAGGATTTTATAGGAATCTGTATTATTTTTAAATGCAGTTAAATAATTATAGGCTGTAATATCTCATGAGTAAAGCGGCAGATTCAGGATGAAGATGAGCAGAGCTTTGGAGACCTGCTGGAACGTTCTTGAGTTCCTTCACCTTTATTTAAACTTGACTGCTGGCTGTAAACGGATCAGCTGTCAGATTTCTGTCTCCCAATATTAAACAGGAGTTTGATCATCCAGTAATCCACAGACACGTCAAAGCAGATTTCTACATATACATATTTTAATCAGCTTAGAAAATAAACACTGATCAGACATTCATTTGGTGGACATTTCATCCCGCTGATTGAAGGAAATAAAAACAGGAAGCATAACAATCCCTCGTCGAATCCTTTGTCTTGCAACTGACGTGTGAGCTTCAGGGTGTGGGTGGGCGAGGATCTATTTTTATTTATGTTTGCAGTTTTATCTGAGCCCGGCGGCAGAGCTGCCGTTTCAGTGTCTCCGTGATAAAACCATCCAGCGGCTTCCGTTGTTTTCTTTGCGTAGTTGCCATGGCGACCCTTAAGGCCATGTCACGGCTAATTGTCTTCAGAGCTCCTGGTGACGGCCGGTCTGCCTGTCCCTTCAACATTTGCCTGAGCAGATGGATGTCACAGCAGAAGATGCTTCTATTCCTTTTGCTCCCTATGGGAGTGGGGGGGCCGTGGGTAGCCCTGGGGGGGCGGGGTCATGGAGACCTGGCGTTTAACAGCTGAACAGTCTTCCGGCCGTAGTGCCAGTAGCTGTATCCGGATGCTGCTGTGGTCACAGCTGTAACATACCTGAAACATGAGCAGCAGAGATTAAGTTAAAACCAGCCCTGATCACAGCTGCCAGGAAACCAGGATCCCTCCACACCTGTTGGACCCAGTTTAGTATCGATACACATCATTATCCAGCAAGACATGCAGTAAATCAATTCAATGTTCAGTCAGGTACGATTGTTCCTTATGTTCCTAACAGAGCACTTCGCTCTCAATCTGCAGGTTTACTAGTGGTTCCTAGAATTTCTAAAAGTAGAATGGGAGGCAGATCTTTTAGTTATCAGGCTCCTCTCCTGTGGAACCAACTACCAGTTTTAGTCCGTGAGGCAGACACCCTGTCTACTTCTAAGGCTAGACTTAAAACTTTCCTTTTTGATAAAGCTTATAGTTAGAGTGGCTCAGGTTATCCTGAGCTATCTCTATAGTTATGCTGCTATAGGCTTAGACTGCTGGAGGACATATGGACCCCTTTTTCATCATTCTGCTTCATTCTATCTCTATTCTCCCACTCTGCAGAATCTATTAGTTTAATCTCTAACGTTCTGCTCTCTCTGCTTTTCCTCATAGTAGCTTCATCTGGTCTGTTCCTGTTTGGCTGTGACTCCATCCTGGAGAGAAATATCAGCTGTGCTGCTGCCATCAACACCTTTGTTTATAGATGTTGGAGCTTGGCCTATTTTTCAGTGTAGTCCTGTTTCTCTGACCGTGACTGAGTGGATGTGCTCTCTTCGTCCTCTGGCATGGGAGCTGGCTCGGAGCTCGTCTGCCTGGCTGTGTGTTTCCTGGACGGGGCCGCCTTTTACAGCTGCTTTTTTATCTCTGCTTCTGTCTCCTTGAACCCCAGTCGGCCTCAGCAGATTGCCGCTCACACTGAGCCTGGTTCTGCTGGAGGTTTCTTCCTGTTAAAAGGGAGTTTTTCCTCTCCACTGTCGCTACAAGCATGCTTAGTGTGAGGGATTGCATTCGATTCAATGAGTCGATGAAATCAACTGAATTGAAGTTAGGTAAAGGGCAATGTGTGAATGGAATTAACTCCCAAATACTATCAAACAATGGAAACCTCTCTATGGTTTCAAAACTTCACTTTAGAAATATTACCTTAGAAGAAATTTTAATTGTTGATACTAATTTAATTAAGGTGATACTGCTGTAGGGTTTATGTTAGCTTGTTCTTTGATATAGATCTATTTGGAGTACCAGTATTTTATTTTAATCATGTTTATCATTTATTTTTTTTATTATTATTTTAGTCATCAATGATGTTAAATGTAATTGTGTATTGATTAGCAGAAGAAAGTAAAGTAAAAAAATACAATTTAAAAAGCTAAACTTCTACAGACAAACCCCAGCAAATATGATCATGTTCAATGCAACACTTTTCTCATAGTATGTCACCTAAATCAAATAACATTTCTATAGATCTATATAGATGTTAAAAATTTGCAGCCAGAAAACTTAAAGGGGAATTTAAACTATATGAACAGTTAAAGGTTTTCAGCTTTTTAATTATATAAAGTACATTTTGGTTTTGTTTTCTTTTTTATCCGACAGATACATTGTTTAATCTTTTCTAACTTATTGAATTCCTTTTATTATTTTTCCAGATTTTAGATATGAAATCGTTTTTTCAGAAAGCTTTTGTTAAGCGAACTTCTATGAATTGCATTATTTTGTTTTGTTTTTTTTACTGATTTTTTAATAGAATTTTATATATATATTTTTTTCTCTCATAGTTGAAGTGAACAAATGATGAAAATCCGGCCCTCTCATCTTTCTGAGTGGGAGAACCTAAACAATCAGAGGATGAATAAATCCTATTTCAGTTTTACTGGAAGATCAGAGAATCAGTTTAGTTTCAATCGCTGATCACCTTAAATTCAGATAGTCTTAGCCATCGGTCCGCCGGCTGATCAATGGTGCAAAGAACTAAAATATGCAAACCTTCCTTTAATATCTGCTCTTTTGAATTTAAGTCTCTAAAAAGGCTAATTCAAAAGTTTAGTGTGTGTTGGAACTCTCCCTGTAAGTCTTATTCTTCTTTTTCAGTGGATCCATGTTAAAATATACGACTAGCGAGCAACAAAACACTTTACTTTTTATTCCAACTCCTGAGGTTGGAGTTCAGATGGGTCGACTGCCTGAGACTGAAGCAGCATGATTTGGTGCCTGACCACCAGTCAACTTGTTTGTTCTTCTATTATCCCAATAAAAACAATCCACTGGACTTTATTTCCCAGTTTGAAGACGTTTCTCTTCCCATCCAGGAAGTTTTTCAATTTGAAATGTCAGAAATAGCATTGAGTTTAAGGTTTTATACAGTAGCTTAACAAAGCCTTGTTTTTGTTTGCTTGGTTGGGCTACTGTGTAAAACCTCAAACTCAACGCCATTTCTGACAGTTTCAATTGAAAAACTTCCTGGATGGGAAGAGAAACGTCTTCAAACTGGGAAATAAAGTCCAGTGGATTGTTTTGTTTCTTTTTCTGGATGACTGAGAACCTTCACCGGCATATTCTTCTATTATTGCTCGATTTCAAAGGAAGCAGGAGTGGTGTGAGCTTACCAGAGGCATTGCAGCAGGATGCTGTCGGTGTACTGGAAGACCGGAGCAGCCAGAGAGGCAGCGACCAGGCAGAGTTGGATGGCTGTGTTGAACTGGAAGGAAAGAAGAATAAAGCAGAGGAAAAAATGACTTAATTCCTACTGGTCTCCCATTTAGAAAGAAACTGGTAGAACAATATGCGTGAAATGTGCCCATAACATAAGAAGCTCCATGTTTCTGCCAGTGGCCTTTGTTTAATGTGTGTTTGAGTTTTCTTAGCAGTTGCAGCTTCCCGTCAGCTGGCGCCGCTATGGGAACTTACAGCCCTCATCTCACTTCCTGTTTCCTACATTTTCATCTGTCACTTCCTGTTGAGCGCCACTCCTCCTCTGGATTGGATACTGGCCTGATCGTCCCACCAATCAAAGGAGAGCTGCTCCTATTTAAACCAGTACTCTCATATGGACTGAGCAGCTGTCATTGCTTGAGCAGCTTGCCTCTTGCTGGATTGTTTATTGGTTTAAACATTTCAGAGAGGGGCCTGTCCCACCTGGCTGATTCAGCCAGCGTATGCCTGATGTCCCAGAATCTGATTTCTATTTCTATGTATTTTTCTCAAGACTTGGCGTATAAATAGAGTATTCATAACTAGGGATGGGGATCGAAACCCGGTTCTATCAAGGACCCGGTTCCACTTTTTTCAAAACCTGAAAATCAATAACGTTTGGGCTTATCGATACCAATATCGAGTCTGGTCGTTTTTTTTTTCTCTTCTCCCGGAGGTCCTGTAACATAATTGTGTGTCCCTCGAGTCGCGTCACAGCCTTTAAATCTAATCAATCCAATCACTGCAGCATGTCCACCAATGTTTTGGAATGAAATTGTAAGCAAACAGATATTAAAAGTAAAACAAGTGAAGTCTTGCAGTTAACTCCGCTCGCGACTCTGTTTCATTTTACTCAAAGATAAAGAAGAAGCGAAATGCATCTTATGTTGCAAAATCATCTCTTTTAAAGGGGGGAAAACAACCTCAATGGCCAAGCACATTAGTATTGTGCATCAAATAAAGGCCAATTGCAGTACCTTCGACTGTCTCCGGGTTGAAAAGACTCCTCCTCCTCCTCCCCCTGCCCCCGCACCACAGCCGGGCCCATCTTCATCATCCACTCAGAGTACCACTGGTGAGCGCGCACACAGACTTTGTAGCTTGTCCGGTCAGTTAAAAATAGTAATTGTGAAATCCGTCTTGTAATCGGAAGCATACAAGCTAGTTAGCTTGAAAAGTAAATAAAGTTTCAGACGTGCTGCGTGATGATGTGTTCAGATTGGCTCAGTAAAACGACAATTAGGTTATCATGATGCGTTCAAGTGTAACGTAAAGAAAACTGGAAATTGAGTTTTTAGCGAGAAACATGAGTAATACAGTTGTATATTGCTCTAATTAATTTAGAATATATAATTAAACTACTGATGCCAACATTTATTAAAAATTACATTTAATTTAAAATACTATTGTTTATTTGCTAAATATTTTCCTAATCACTAAAAGCATGATGAAAAGTGACAGTAGACAATACATTAACCAACAATTGTGAAAATGTATATATTTTTTTAAACCAAAAGAAGACCTTTCTTCAAAATATAGGACATTTCTTCAAATATTTTTTTCCCCCACTTCCTTTCTGTCTGTTAAAAACATTGTCGCATCGTCTTTCCACCAAATAACAGAAAAGTATCGATAGTGGTATCGATAAAGACTCGGATCGATAAGCAGTATCGATAAAGGTATCGATATCAATAAATATTAACGATCCCCATCCCTATTCATAACGAGTCCAGAACTTCTGTCCGACAGCCTAACTTATGCATAACGCCCGGCAGCATAATGCCCATCAAATGTCACAACTCGGTGAACACAGGAGGGCAGTGATGCGCCCGGTGGCGCCCAGTCTGCATAAAAAGATGTCTTTGAACGCGGTATTAACCTAGCTGCTGTTTTTTGCCCCCCCCCCCCAAAAAGAATTTTAAAAAATGAAAAAGAAAGGTTTGCAGTGGCAGCTACAGCAGATACGCCATTATACAGTAGCTGGAAGTTAGAAACACATTCAGCGCTCGTCTGGAACACGTCAGATACGTTGATATGCGTTGGAGAGAAGTTCTTGATAAGTAATGCAGAAGTTACTTATATGTTTTGGATAAGCTGGACACCACAACTGATGAGTAACTGACACTTAACGCATGTCAACCACCAGATAACTGACCTGGAACTTGGCCCACATATGGTATAGGTTTGCATACATCAGGAACTTTTGAGCATGCTCAAAACTTTTCCCCATTTGTCTACGTGTTCCAGCTTGCTTATAACTAACAAAACGTTCCCATAACTTATCTAACGTATGCCAGCGTTTTTGCCAGATTTTCCGTCAGGCATACACTGGTCGAAATCGTCAAGATGTGACAGGGGCTCAAATTTCAACCCCAGACTCCGGTTTATCTGAATCTAGGAGGGTTTCTATAGTCCAGGCAAATCTGGGATCCTACAAACAGACTCAAACACATAAACCCTCAAAAAATAACAGATCAACCAGCCTTTGAAGCCGTCAGCAAGCTGCTGGCATCATTCTCTGGATATTTCATTGCTGCTCTGGTCTGAGCTGGTTAAGTTCATGTAAATGTATTGGTTTTCTGGAGTGTTTCAGCAGCATGAAGGATGACAGTTTGGCACAGCTACAGCTGGATTAAAGAAAAAAAAAGTGTAGTGATAAAATAAAAAAAAAAAGAGGCCTTTTAGTTTAAAAACACCTGGTTGCTCTATAACATGTTTATATTCCAGCTGATGTTAACAACCTGCAGCTCCAGAGACAAATGTAGAATATCTACAACAGAAGGACCTCAGTGGTCAAAGGCTTTTAAATGTGATCAATGTTTTGTTTTTAAACTACATTTTGTGGGCATCATGATTCAGATTCAGCATTAATGAAAAGAGCGCCCTCTGGTGGCATCTTTCTCCATAACAAAGAGGATTCTTTGCTTTTGTAAAAGTCAGATGAATCTTTTCCATTTTTGGTTTCAACAGAAACAGATTGTTCAGTTCCTATCTATGAAACCCATCTATGTTTGCAGCTCTAGATATAATAAGAAATAAAAAAGGTTTGCAGAATCTGTTTCTAGATGTAAGCTGAATGCTGTAGTTTCATTCTACCATTAAAAAAAGCTGTAAACTATTTTGGCATTTCATCTCCTGATGAGCACAATCATTTGCACCGACAGAGCAGGTCTCACCTTGCTGAAGAGTGTGGGTTTAAGCTGGGCTGTAGTGTAGCAGGGGTTAAAAAACTTACTAAGGGTCACCTGGAAACAAAAGAAAGAAAAACATGGAAAAAAACAGAAGAATCGAGTAAAACAGATTTATGTCTAAGAGACCAAAGCATTAAACGCATCTCTCTGCTTGAGTTAAAGAAAAACAACCTGACCTGATAAAACAAGAACATTAATGGCTAATCCATTATATCTATCTATAGATAAATCTATCTATAGATATATCTATATGTAGATAATTCTTTTTCAAATTGAGCTTTTTAAATTGCATTTCAGATAACATCCTCTAATGCTTGCGGTTGACTAATATTGTTGTCCTTAATGTTCAATAGACACTGATCTTTGCTCCTAAATGGAGAGAAAAGCACGCCCCCAGAAGCCATTTGGAGGAAAGAATATAATAAAAAAATAAATGTAAAAAAACAAAATTGGAAAAATAATTGAAAGTACTAAAACTGTAAAATTATATTTTCCTAACAAATTTTGAAATAAAATATAACCTAAGAAATTAGCAAAGTTACACTCAAAGCGTTTTGTTGATTAAAAACTTTTTAGTTTTACTTCTTGATGACATTTTTCTCAAGTTTCAGTTAGCAAATCATTTTATTTGCTTTAAACGGTGATAGAAAAAAACATTGACTGCATAAAGAAAAACACCTGATAAAAAACTGGATTTATATCATCTCCATATCCTGCAGAGGAAGACAGCTGCAGGCATAAAGCAGGAAGGAGAGTTAAACAAAATTTCTTTATTCAGGCTTTGGGAATCAGGAGGAGACTAACGCAGCTCTGGCTGCCCTGTGAGACGGTAACAAAACAAATCAAGTCACTAAACTGACCAAAAAACAAACACAGGAAAAAGTCCCAAGAATGGTATCTAGTTTCTACAGAAGACGATTAGGGCCACTGAAAAAAAAATTAAAAATTTACCTATTTTTAAATATTATTTAAATTTAACATTCTGACTTTTATCTCATAATTCTGACTGAATTCTGACAGCTAAACATGTTAGCATCAAGCCGTAACCATGTCTAGAGACTAAACTAGCTCTCTCGTTTTAATCACCTTCTGCTCCTCCATTAATGAAAAAGCATCACCGGGGATCCCTCGGCACGTAAAAAGTCACCTAATTCCATCATCTTCCTCCAAAGTGTTACTCGCCCTCTCAAACAATTCACACCTTCGTCAGTGAAGCTGAGTGCTCCACATCTCTACCTTCAGGGTGCCCTTTAAGATTAAGATTAATTCTGAGATTAAAGTCAGAATTCAGAGAAAAAAAAGTGGGAATTCAGAGAAAAAAAGTAAGAATTCTGAGAAAAAAGGTGAAAATTCTGAGAAAAAAATGGGAATTCAGAGGGAAAAAAGTGGTAATTCCGAGAAAAAAGGTGAGAATTCCGAGAAAAAAGGTGAGAATTCCGAGAAAAAAGGTGAGAATTCAGAAGGAAAAGTGGGAATTCAGAGGAAAAAAGTGGGAATTCAGAGGAAAAAGTGGGAATTCAGAGGAAAAAAGTGGGAATTCAGAGAAAAAAAGGTGGGAATTCAGAGAAAAAAAGGTGGGAATTCAGAGAAAAAAATGGGAATTCAGAGGGAAAAAAGTGGTAATTCCGAGAAAAAAGGTGAGAATTCCGAGAAAAAAGGTGAGAATTCAGAGGGAAAAGTGGGAATTCAGAGGAAAAAAGTGGGAATTCAGAGGAAAAAAGTGGGAATTCAGAGGAAAAAAGTGGGAATTCAGAGAAAAAAAGGTGGGAATTCAGAGAAAAAAAGGTGGGAATTCAGAGAAAAAAAGGTGGGAATTCTGAGAAAAAAGGTGGGAATTCTGAGAAAAAGGTGAGAATTCCGAGAAAAAAAGTGAGAATTCCGAGAAAAAAGGTGAGAATTCCGAGAGAAAAATGGGAATTCTGAGGGAAAAATGGGAATTCTGAGGGAAAAAAGTGGGAATTCAGAGGAAAAAGTGGGAATTCAGAGGAAAAAAGTGGGAATTCAGAGAAAAAAAGGTGGGAATTCAGAGAAAAAAGGTGGGAATTCAGAGAAAAAAATGGGAATTCAGAGGGAAAAAAGTTGTAATTCCGAGAAAAAAGGTGAGAATTCCGAGAAAAAAGGTGAGAATTCCGAGAAAAAAGGTGAGAATTCCGAGAAAAAAGGTGAGAATTCAGAGGGAAAAGTGGGAATTCAGAGGAAAAAAGTGGGAATTCAGAGGAAAAAAGTGGGAATTCAGAGAAAAAAAGGTGGGAATTCAGAGAAAAAAAGGTGGGAATTCTGAGAAAAAAGGTGGGAATTCTGAGAAAAAGGTGAGAATTCCGAGAAAAAAAGTGAGAATTCCGAGAAAAAAGGTGAGAATTCCGAGAGAAAATGGGAATTCTGAGGGAAAAATGGGAATTCTGGGGGAAAAAAGTGAGAATTCTGAGAAAAAGTCAGATTTTTCCGCCCATACTAAATTGAAATAATATATAAAAATCAGTAAACTTTTTTTTTCCAGTTGCCCTTTCTTATTTGAAACAAACATGGGGAAAAAAAAAAGTTGGGTGGGAAATTGTCATTAAGTTGGCAGAAATTGATTGTTTTCAGGGCTCCGTTGCCATCACTTCACTTTATAAATTAGGAGACTTTGCAGACAGATTGATAAATCTGACTGTTAGATTTTTAAGATAAATTGGGACTATCAGAATTAGTGTGCATATTTACAGTATGCAGCAGAGCCTTCATGTTTCATAGCATTTCTCACCGGTGGAGGAACAGTCTTGTATCGGACCCAGAAGACTGCAGCTATCAAACCGACGTCTCTAAAAATCACCAGAGCCGTCAGTGGAGCTGGAAGCAAAGACAAACAGTTAAATTTGTGGCTACAGCCATCTAACGGACTCACTGAACGTTAGTGAATGAGCGCCTCAGACAGGAGGGAACAGCAACGTCCCCGTAGGTTGTATACCTGGGATTAGTTGGGCGAAGGTCAGACTCACATATAAAACACTGATGAGGATCTTGTCGGCCAGAGGATCCAGAGCGCTGCCCAGAGCGGACTTCTGGGTGGGCCAAGTTCTAGCGATGTAACCGTCCAACTGAGAGACAAAGGAACAAAGAACAGTTTGTTAACTTCAGAGCAGGGCGCTTTAGGGCACTCAGTGAAATACTTTGAAAATCCACATTTCAAGCCAATAGTGTTACTGGAAACCAGGACAAGACCTTCTTACCTTTGGAACATTCAAAAAAATATGCATATTTTGATCGAAAAATGTATGTCAATGTAATAACAAGAAATGCCAACTTGCCCGAATATATTAAGAAAAATAATAAAAGTGCTCACATTTTTTGTGGTCGTATTCAGAATTCAAACTTCTGAAAATACTTCAAATATTAAATTATTACACACTGTTCAATAAATGATAAGTATTATTAATATTTATTTGAATGTGCTTTAATGGAGGCATCCATGTTTGTCAAAGAACACTACTGCCACCTACTGGTTAGTGACGTCACGGTGCGGTATCGGTTTTTCTCTGACAACCAAATCCTCCCTCTTCAAGTTGGCAATCCAACGACCAACCCGTCCGTGGAGGATCAGGAATCAGAAAGGAGAAATAACTCGATGTATTCCAGCATCCAGCTGCTATGCACGTGGGCATTGTCGGTTTCACTATAGCTCTGGTGAATTTTAATGGTGAAGTCCTCTGGAAATCTTCAATAATTGTTGTTAATTGCAGATGTGTCTAGTAGTTCCCATTGATTTTGCTTGTAAAGCGGGGAGAATGACGCTAGGCTTACCGTACTGTGACGTCACTGCTGGAAGATGGCAGGAGGGAGGGGTTACTATATTTGGGCAAAAATGGCTGCTCCCAGACTCAGTGATCACGAAGAAAGTTATTGTTTTTATTTTTTCCCTGATTAATACTAAATTCATTAAATCACTGCGAACGGATTAGTTATAGGTATAAATAATGATCCACTGATTATTCCTGGCTGACAGGACTTTCCCTTTAAAGCCTTTTTGAAAGTTTCTGGATTACAATTTTTTTGGGTTTTTCACTTCATAAAACATGATTTTTTTTTTTCCTCACTGTTTGTACGTTTAAGGACACATCCTGAGATAGCTCCTTCTAAGGCATTCAGGACGGAGCACATCCTGCCTATTTCCTTCACGTTTCCAGAACTCCTCTCATAAATCAGAGGTAGACAGATTTTTTTTTTCTCTGTTGTTTAACTAACTGTCAGGTTTGGTTTTTAAGTCTCTTAAAAAAAAAACCCTTTTAAACTTGACTTTTAATTCCAGTTCTGATGTCATTATTAATCTATTTTACTTTCTGCTTTTATCTTCCTCTGTTTCATACGGTTCCTTCTTTTTATTTATGGACCTGTAATAAACATCGGGCGTGTAAAGTCCTCTATATCCAAAGGTTAATAGATTAATAGATATTCAGCAGACTGAGTCGATGATGCAAAACCTTGGGTCAAACAATCAAGACAGTTTCTATTGAAGTGATTTCTTTATCAGACGGCTTCTGACTGTAACCAGGCCTAGAATTAAAAATAAAGTGGCTCAATCCCTTCAGTTTATGATTTAACAGGTAGCAAATACATTCCTCTGTGTATTTAATACAGCCTTTTGGACAAAAATTAGATTAATTTGAAAAAGAAACTGTATGGTGAGTCTGCATTACCAGGTCAGTGGCTCCAGCCAGAATGAAGAGAGCCAGGCTGAGGTCAAAGTGCTGCTGGGTGATCAGATAACCCAGATATGGAGCCAGCAGAATGCGACAAACGCACAGCAGGTTGGGCACGGTCCACGGGTTCTCATACTGCAGAGAGAAAGGTTACAGCCTGTTACAGCCGGGAGTTTACAAACCCCAACCATCACTGCTAATCTGAGTTTCATAATTCCCTCCAACTGAAAATCAGTTTTAATAAGGAGGCACTAAGTTGAGGAAATGATCATTAAAAACACTAAATACTCTTTCTAACATGAATCTGGTTTGACCTCATCACAACCTGTCAGTGAACAGCTGTAGCTTCAAGTTGCTTCCCATCTGTGAGGCGCTGTGCTTTCCCACTTTCACACCACGTTAGTAACAAGATTTTTATTGATGAATAGCAAGTTGTGTGTAAACTCTCCACACAAACCAAAGCGTTGGTTCTCTAAATATGTGGCCGAATCATTGCCAGTATGAAGTCATCCAGGTCATGGTCATTCCAAAAAATTAAAAAACAATCCACTAGAACACTGGACTCACTGACACTGCGTCTGTCTGGTTTCTCCAATAACAACCTCTCCATGGACGCATGGCCCAACACAGAAGAGCGCCCTCCTCTGGACAAGGCTCTGCGGTACAAATACACCTTATGGACAAAGGACATTCTTTTGAGGACCAGAATGTTCACATTTTGAACAAAGAAGACAGGAGGTTTGAGAGGGGCGTGAAGGAAGCCATCTATCTTAGGAAAGAAAAACCAACTGCAAATAGAGGGGGTGGACTCAGATTTCAGCAGCAATTGAGTTGATCTCTTACCACTATCATCGCAACCCCCACTCCTTTAAAGGGGAACAGGAGACCTCACCTTTATAAATTACTGCATGTTGTCTAATGACAGTGTCTAACTTCACTTGCGCTGCTTCTCCTGTTAATACGGTAAAGCCCTCCAGAGCGTCCGGCTCCAGCTTCATGTGATACTAATGATCCAATGAGCTGCTGTCAGTCTGGGTTGCTGCTGCTGCTACTTTTAGACACAGCAGGCAAACCTGTGGCAAGCCGGGCGATGGGAGAGAAGGAGAAGATGATGAGAAAAAGAGAGCAGAGAAAGTGTGGACTGCTGGAAGAACTGTGGTGAACTGGTGAAAGAAAAGTGAAATGGTGCTCAAAGATGATCCTGAACATTTAGAGGATGTTTGGCTCAACCTGCTGCTGTGAAGCAGGATTCTCCACCATGAACAGAATCAACAATAAATATGGATCCAGGCTCAGAATGAGCTCCTTGATATGTGCTTTAGAATGGCTTAGTCTCCATTCAAACCAGGTTTAAAGCCTTGCAGGGCAGCAGAAAGCCCACTGCGAACATTAAGACAGAAAAAAGAAAGAAAATAAGAAACGGTCAGTTTAGGTGTTTTATAAAATATGGGAATCAGGATATTGTCTTAATACCAAACTGAACGATTATTGTTTTCTAATTAAGGAGGCAGACTGAAAACAAAGAGCAACACGGTCTGATTCTGCTCTGAGAAAACTTTTATAAACAGGATGTCACAAACCTAAACTTCCCCACATCTACTTATCTAGATGTATCTGCACAACTAAAAACAAGAACTAATAAATCAACAAGTCACATCTTTGTTCGCTCTAGTCTGCAGATAATATGGCCCTGCGGAGGACAGTGAAGGGAACAGGGAAGGTCACTACAGTTTGTAAATAAACCCCTGATAGGTGCCGCCCAGTCTCATTACAGGCAAACATTTGATATTAATAAACTAAAATATTGTTAATTTCAGGGACATGGCGTTTATTATTTCTTTATAGTTGGGGGATTTAAAGTGATAAGCCAGTGGGTTCTTCTTTCAAGCATTTAATGAATTGGTCCCTCTCTGATTTAATCCCCTGCTGACCTTGGAGGTCACCGTTTAGAAGTGTGAACTCACCAGCTCCTTGAACTTGAACAGTCCCTGCCCTGGTTCCGCCTCCTTGTCTGCTGCTGCGGAGCCACCAGGAGCCTCCTCGCTCTTTCTGCTGCAGAGTCCCCGGGCTGCGGGGAGCAGCAGCGGTCTCGGTCCGGCCGCTGACCTCCCAAACCCTCTCTGGTTCGCCACTCCCGATCGTTTCACCGCCTGGAAGAAACACGAGCCCCGATGCTCGGTCCATTGCAGGGCGGAAAGCCACGAGCCGCTGAGGCGAGGCTGCGTGAACCTCAGGCTCGCCGTGCCAGGTGGTTGACCGTGCCGCCATAGTGCGGGCGCGAGCTGGCACACACGCGCGCAGCGCTCAGGAATGTTAGCTGCTCTGAGAAACAGCGGAGCGGAAATCCGACCCAAACACGTTCTTATCATCCTCTACAGACTCGCATTACTGACCGACTGCCCGTGTGTTTCCCCCCGACTGACCATCATTACAGAGTAACACCGCAACTCTGCGAGAGCAAGAAAGCTGCCATGTTACCGGAAAGCCGAAAACAGATACGACACACGATGTCGTAAAATATTTGAGCTGGATTTAAATGAGTGGGGGCTAAATCCCAAACCGTCCACTAAGCACTACCCCTTTAATGTCCAACGCTACCCTCAATGAAGTCACACTCAGAGGAGGAGGGCGCCTTGGTAGAAAGCAAGGGGCATGTGAGAACGGAAAGGCGCACTCTTCCTATTCTTCCACCGGAAAAGTAAAGCAGTTGTTGCCATGGCAAAAGACACGCCCCTAATGCTTGGCTGTGGCCGCGAGTAGACCCCGCATCGACAGCTTTTAGCACTGACGGGATTTGGTGGCGCCATCTTGGGGCGGTCAACAGCTCCGCTCAGTGTAGGAACAGGATCAGTTTTAATCAAGTTTAACTCTGAATATCGAACTAATTTTCACAGTTTAGTTTTTTTTCTAAAAACACAAAAATACTTCAGTTTATTTAAATATTCTTAGTGTTTTTTTATTACTATATACGGAAATATATTTATACAGGTATCCTCAAATGTATATACACATATCTGTCACTCATATATACATCTCTCTCTCCATATATATATACATACATAAATAAATATACATAAATATATACTTATACATATATGCATATATATACTGTAAAAAATATTGTTAATACTGTAAAAATGTCCACCGCTGTATTACTATTTTTCAGATGAACAGTATTTATATGTTTTGGCTTCTTTATTTATTTATTTATTTATTTATTTATTTATTTATTTATTTATTTATTTATTTATTTATAGTGTTTTATGTTTTATTTATTTATTTTTAACGACTTTGGTCAGCTGTGTCTTTTTTAACTGCTTAACAAATAAAATTGAATTGTTTTTAAAAATTATTTTATTTTTTTATTTTTTTACCTGTCACGTATTCTATTATTTTTATGCACTTTATAAGGTCCAAATTTGTGTGACCACTTTTGCTGTAATCATTTGTTGCTGGAACGCCACAATTTCCCCACTGTGGGAAAACAGAGGGAGTTTCTATTCTATGTAGTGTATATCTGCTGTTTATTTAGTAATGTCTTCCAAAGCTCTGATGCCTCCATGAAGTTACCCCTCGAGGTCTGATGTCAACAGCCTGTTGATTTAGACAAAAATTCGTGGGTGTGCTGAGGCATCCTTCTTCTGTTCTGCTTAAAGCAGCAGGTTAGGATAGCAGGTCGACCTCCCCAAGACGGCAACCCTAATTCCTGCGCCGCGACTGGGGCCCTGTTCGAAAACCTAGGACGCATCCTTAGAAGACCGTATTCGAAGGCCGATTACGTCATAGCGCGGCGCCGAGGTCTGGTCGGATTCCAAGAGTCTTCGTTATGCGGCCTTAAAATGCGTCCTTCTTTTTGCCTGATTTGAAGGACGGGTCTGAAGCATAGATATCCATAATAAAGGCTAGATGTCTTACGGCGGAGTCTCAAACGTCATCACCGGCGGCCATCTTGCCTCAGGCAGGCTTTCTGTTGTGCTCTGTGGTACCTAATCTAAGGTGAGTGATCAGCACGAACACAAATACTCTTACCTCACTGAATTCTTGACGGATTTACAAACAGTTTGGTTTCTTACAAACATTATGAACGTGGCTATTATTCTTGATGCTTGAACATGTCGAAATAGCAGATTTTCTTGTCGAAAAATGACTTAATCGCGCAGCATAGTTGTGCATCACGGCTACTTGCGCAAGTTATCAAGGCTGAGATTATTAGTCAATTATATAGGTTTTACTGACACCAATAACGATTGTATGACAATTAATCTTTGGTGTAAATTACAATCTTTGTGGTTGTGGTTGTAGTTATTAGTTGGCTTATAACAATAATTTGAGTGTTGTTGTATTTTCATTATTAGCCTAACGTTAGCTGGCTAATAACAAGAAGCTGCGAAGTGAGACCTAACGTTAGTAAGTTAGCAGCTAACGTTACAGTTTAGCTAGCTGCTAACGTTAACAAGCAACTTTACATCAGTGGAAGAGGCAGAATTTAACATGATTTCCAATCGATTTGGTCTGTCAACACATCTTACATTATGTTACAGGAATTTGCTGGGTTTATTAAAAGGAAGAAGCCAGACTTTTGCTATGACATAATAGTATTACAAGACTGTTGTTGACTCAAAGCTTTTATAAGTTTGTATTAGTTTCATTTGGACAACTTAAAGATGGTGTTGTGCCAAACATTTTCAACTTTCCAGCTCATCTTCAAAGGGCATGTGTATCATTGAAATTTAATCACATATTGATATACCAATCTTATACACCGTGAATTGTTGTTGGTCACTTTTGTTTTTGTTTCTGCAGGTTATATAATGTGTAAGCAGGAGGAGAAGATCTTCCATCCCCGTTTGCTGACATTCCTGCACTAGTACATGACCACAGCTACCTTCCTGTCTGCTTTGATGGCCTTGTGGACAACGCTCTCTTGTACATTACACAGAAGCTCAATAAAACCGTCCTTTTCAAAGGGCATTAGCCAAGCTATGTTTTTTGGGTCATTTTTTAAATCTCTGTCTTCCATGTGTATACCATCACAGTAGTGTAGGTGGGGATTTCAACATGCTACATCTATATATACTTGTGAAGGGGACTATTGCACCAATTTTAATAGCAAATAAATGTCACTTTTATAGTGGTTTAAAAATAGGAACTTTTGTGTTATTACCCCTGATATATAATCCGAATAGTCTACATGAAACTTCAAAGTGTTACCTTTAATTTGAAACCTGGATTATGCTTCTACACCAAGAGGTTGCCACACAATAAGCCTTTTTTGTCAGTATTTCATATTTTATTATAACAATAATTTTCATATTATAAAAGTATGTATGTAAATATAAATAAATTAGGACTATGAAATAATTAATCACACCCAAATAAAAGTGTTTAGTTATATATATATATGTATATATATATATATATATATATTAATATATATATATATATATATATATATATATATATATATATATATGTATATATATATATATATATATATATATATATATATATATATATATATATATATATATTAATATATATATATATTAATATGTATATATACATATTTATATATATACATATTTTTATATATATATATATATATATATATATATATATATATATATATATATATATATATATATATATATATATATATATATATATATATATATATATACACACATATTTATATATATATATAGATATCTATAGATATATCTATATATCATGTTGCCATTCAGTACACTGAGTTTTAATAGCATATATTGATTTAACATAAATACCTTGTGCATGTGTATATTTATTGCACCTGTATGTTCTATTCAATGTTCTTTTCATATGAAATTCCATGGTTATAATTATTCCTAAGTGTGCAGTATCATAACTACATGTCTGACTTTTGTTTACCAAACCAAACAGTTTGAGAATCGTTAGACAATTGAGGAAGTTATGGTTATTTCAGTACATGCGCCTTTAAAACACAATGTTACGAATGAGCGAGCTGCCTGTGGCAAGATGGCCGCCACGTGCGGACGTCGACCCCCATTGGCCAGCAGCGCGGACGAGACATCTAGCCTTTATTATGGATATCTATGGTCTAAAGTATCCTCGGTATTCTTGGATATCCCAGGATTCATTGCGAGACCAAGCAAGCCGTAATCAGAGGAAAGGTTACTTGGCGCCGAACAGTGGTGAAAATTGGAAGTTCAGTTTAATATAATACAAGTCATTTAATAGTTCCGTCTGAGATTAATGAAAAATAGTTGTTTTAATGGTTATAAAGTCAGATATGTGGCGGTAATGTTTGATTTATCTAAAGGTTTTAATCTGTTACTGTGTAAATGGGTTTGGCTGTAATTAAAGGACAGATTCTAATATATCTGCAGGGTGGGGACTATAAATCTGATAGGATTTTTATCTTTTTATTGCTGTTTTGTGCAATATGCTTAACTACGTATTTTTTGTTGTTGAATATTAGAGATTTTGCAGATATATTTTTTTATAAATACATTGTTTAGATTTACTTATATCTTTCTACCCCTTTTATAGAATAGAATAGAAAATCCCTTTATTGTCCCACAATGGGCAAATTTACAGCAGCAGAAAGATTATTGAAAATGGTCACACAAATGTGGACCTTAGAAAAATGTATAAGAATAACATAATAGGGAAGAGTTAAAATATAAAAAATACAATTCTGTAAAGTTATTTAACAATATAAAACTGGAGAATTAATAACCAATATGCAGCTATGGACATTTTTACAGTAATGGATATTCGAAAATAGCAGCAACATCAGAGACGTGCAGAATGACAGCAGCATGTTATTTAACTGACTAAGGTTTCTATCATTACATTTGATTTTATTTGTTCCTGCTCCCGGTGGTTGGAACCTTTATTCCATTCGGGATTCTTGTGAGTGTAGTCTTTGTTCACTTCACAATAAAAAAGAAATAAATAAACAGTTTTTGAAACTTCTGTATTCATTCTTTTCCTGCTTTGTGTGTCAACGTTCACGGTTGCTTAGCAACAGAGCATACGGCGGTAAAACCCGCCAAAGGGTAGACCCGGTCGAATTCACAGCCAAAACTCTTCTGGTCTCCTTATTTTCAAGGACTTCGAAGGATCCAGTCTAGGTAGACCGCGTCCTTGTAGGACCCGTCCTGGGTTTTCGAACAGAGCCAGAATGTAGGGTCTACTCCGCCAGGTTCTTCTTCTTCTTTAAAATTGTTGCTGGTTGGCAAGCAACGAATATATGAATTTCCACCATCTACTGGTATGGACGTGGACCAGAATGACTCTCAGAAATTTTATTTTATTATACAAATGCGATTTTTTTTAGATATCAAAATATTATCCTGCAAATGTTACTTTCTGAAAAGCCTCTAAATAATTCAAATAAATCTTATTTATCTTTTAATTTACTTACATTTTTAATAAATTGCTTTCTCTCTTCATATTTATTACAGTACATCACAAGTTCAGTTGTTCCATCTACCCCACAGTATTCACATTTACCATGTTTCCCCAAGATAAACAGAGTGCTGTTTAATCAGGTATGACCAAATCACAATCGAGAAATAATTGTTTCTCCTCTTCTAGTTCTTCCAGTTCCCATTTCTCCTGTTTTCTTTTTAATTTTGTAAAACCAACATCCTTTTTTCCTTTCTCCCATTCCTTTTGCCATTTATCCTTCCTTTTCTGTTTAATTAACATTTTCACTTAAACTTTACTGAAATTAATTAATTTAGCTCTATTGCAAAGCTGTCAGATTTGAAGGCTAAAGCACAGACAGCATTAAAGGCCCATGCATGCACAATTAGGAAAATAAATACTACAGCATTAACAGACATGTACTTGTAATTCAGTCTTGATGTAAAATCTTTTAGCACTTTTGGCACATCTGTATTATTATGCTCCAATAACACATTCAATTTATTGTGATCGATTTGTATAATATGTTATATGACATGATTTAAAGACTTCATAATGACTAAGCAATGTGACGTGCCTATTTTTTATTATAAGTAATCTACTGATGCTATGAAACAGCCAGTTTGTGTCAAAGTGATGAATTTATCTTTATTTTAAGTCTTAAGCCCCCCCTAAAAATGAGATAATCATTGTTGTTCGATGCTGTAGCGCAACAGTCATATGAAAAAGTTTGGGCACCCCTATTAATCTTAAATATTTTTATTTCTAAATATTTGGTTGTTTGCAATAGCTATTTCAGTTTGATATATCTAATAACAGTAATATTTCAGTATTGAATTGGGGTTTATTGGACTAAAAGAAAATGTGCAATATGCATTAAAACAAAACTTGACAGGTGCAAAAATGTAGGTACCCTAATCATTTTATTGATTTGAATACCCTTGACTACTTTTCACTGACTTACTAAAACATAAAACTGGTTTGGTAACTTTCATTAAGATTTGAACTTCATAGCCAGTTGTATCCAGTCATGAGAAAATGTATTTAAGGTGGTCAGTTCCAAGTTGTTCTCCTGGTTGAATCTCCTCTGAATATTGATCATGGGCGCCTTAAAACAACTCTCACATGATCTGAAAACAAAGATTGTTAAACATAGTTGTTCAGAGGAAGGATACAAAAAGTTGTCTCAGAGAGAAGGCTGAGAAGCCCATACACCCAAATATTTAGAAATAAAAATAATTTAGAGTAATACGGGTGCCCAAACTTTTTCATATGACTGTATTGTTTACATTTCGACCGATCTAACTAGGGAGTACCAATCATAGACCCAATAGTTCACTTCATCTCCGTACTACCAACGGGAAATCCAGTGAATAAATAGAGATCAGTGGTTGTAAGACATAATGACTGCTGGTGCAACCTTCAACCTTACCTTACTGAAAGAAAACTCAATCTTATTTTATTAATTATGTAAATCTTTCACATACAGCTATAATAATTACGTTATAAATATATATTATAATTAAAAAAAAATGCTTAATGATAGTTATAAAATTCCATTTCGTTTAATAGAATAAATAAAACAGTGGATACAGACAGACAATAGCTTATAAGTTAAATGCTTTTATTTGGATTATGTTGTTTTCATATATAAAATTAAGCCAAACAGACACAATATTTATACACATAAAGAGAAAATTAATTAACAATATATACAGGGACTGACCGTTTGATTAAAGGTAATACTTTAAGGTCACCTGAAGGAGAAATATAACAACACTGAGCTTAAGACAGAAACTATGTTGACAAAGTGTTTTTGAGTCAGTGTATTACTTTCATTGTTACATTTTCATGAGATCATCAACATTCAAACTTCTAGTTAAAAGAGACTCTTATATCCCAGAGAGTATTTACTCTTTATGTGCATCTGGAGATAACTGAGTAAAGACTGAAGTCTAGCAGTTAGATGGTCTGCAGTTGGTAAAACTTGGGCCCTTTCTTCAGCAGGAAACCTTGTTCATTGAGGGAACTCAGCAGACCTTGAAAATCCAAAACCTGGAAAATGAAAAACACAAACATAATAAGGACTGTGTCAACTGCTAGGATCATCTTTACAGCTTTTTTTTTTTACCTTTATGTTCATTTTGTCAGCAATTGAGCGAAGCATCTGCAGGTCAAACTGCTTCTGATTGGTCCGCTGAGCGTGTGAGTGGAGCGCGTTGACCAGTCGCTTTGCAGCGCTGCGCTGACTCATGCCGGAGCCCAGCTGTGAGCGCTCAAAGTCCAGGTTCCCCAGGCCGTCTGAGTACGTATCAGCCAGGCTAAAGACAATGCAAGATGACAGGTTTGAACACTTTAAACCTGAACATGTATGCCAGAGGTCACGGATTAGCGGTCTTAGTTTTTGGGAATATATAAGCTCATAAATGAGATTGAGATGATAAATCTGCTTCCTGGTATTTTGAACTACCAGTACTTTGCATCCAATCATTTAATTAAGCGGTCTTAGTTTTTGGGAATATATAAGCTCAAAAAGGAGCGTGGAATGGCTTTAGAATGGCTTAGTCTCCATTCAAACCCAGGTTTAAAGCCTTGCATGGCAGCATAAAGCCCACTGGGACAGAAAGAAGAAAGAAAAATAACAAACGCTCAGTTCAGGTGTTTTATAAAATATGGGAATCAGGAAATTGTCTGTATACCAAACTGAACGATTGTTGTTCTCTACTTCATAAAACATTTTAGATTTTAAAATGGAAATATTTTCTATTATTATTTTTATATCTTTTTTATTTGAAAATTCAATGTATAACATGGATGCATAAAAACCTCATTTTATTTCAGGGTTAAATTCTTTTTAAAGTAATAGATTAAATAATTAAAAATGTCTCTGGAGCGTTACTAATTGATGATTTTCTTTATTCGGACCCCGCTGATTTTTAATTGGTTACCCCTGATGTAAGTAATAGCAGAAGAAAAAAAAAAGGAAAGATATAAGAATTATTATCTTTGTTAAATAAATATAAAATACAACCCTTCTTAAACATATCCCTTAAACATTCTTTTGTTACGGCAAATCCAAAAACTTGAAAATATATGGAGTGAATTTTATTCAATTATTTTTGCAAGCAAAACACCTGTTTTGTGAGTGAAAATTTGTAAAGACACATTTTATGCATTCAAATTTGAAAAAACATGAAATCTGGAAATAAAACTTTGAAAAACTGTTTTAATAGAAAAAAAAAAGATGTTGATATTTCCAATGATTTTTATATTCATACAAAATAATTTGCACAATTTTATATATATATTGTTTTTCTTTATTTCTTTTATTTATTTATTTTTTTACAGATTTTACATTTGTATCTTTTTCTAAATTAGTTTTTCAGATTAAGTTTTATAACTGCTAAACTACTTTTCATGGATTCTTCATCTTAAACCCAATAAAAACAGTCACTCTTGACGAGCAGATTGACCAATAAAATGCTGTTGCCAACACCCATTATGGACCAATAGAATTGCATCTTCATTCCTCACTCCAGAGGTAAGCCCGCCCCCCAGACGTGAATCAAACTGTTTGGTTCATTCAGTGCACCTGAAACTTCTTTAAAGAGCTAAATATAAACATCTAAAAGTCTGGTTTCTCCATTTCCTGAATAACAGACCTGCAGAGCTACCTGTGCTTCATGATCTCAACGACGTCCTCAGCATCATCTTTGGTGGCCACTTCTCTAAGCTCTAATTTGGCTCTTGCCTACAAGAGAAAGAAAAACAGAAGATATCCAGGAAGGTAGTTCAGGTCTTTGCTAAACATCTTAAGGCAAAGGACCCCACCTCGGTCAGTCTTATTAAGGACTCCAGCTGCCGCGTGGTGATGGGTGTGGCGTCGGTGGAGTGCGCCTGGGACCTCAGAGACAGATAGAAGTCCTGAAGAGTTTTGGCTGCTTCGGGAGACAGCGTGGGTTTGACGTACTGACGGGCGTAGCTGATGTACTTCCTTAACAAACACGCTGGGATCACATCCATCGATTCATTTCCTGGAACCTTGAGACGAAATCAAAAGAAGATAAACCTCAATAAAATGCGTGAAAGCACCTAGAAATGTTACGGTGTTAGTACAGTTCTGCTTTCATGCTTAGTGTTTACATTTGTTCAACATACGATAAAAGAGATGATATCAACCTCTGTTAAAAGAAGTCACAGTGTCAGATACTGTGGGGTCAGCTTCATCCATCCTAGTATTTTTAACTAGGCCTGTCACCATTTTCCTAGAAATATCGCCGTAAACTATAATATTGTTTTGGGACCATTCTTAACTTACATAATAATGACAAAATAATGTGAGTACACTCTTTAAAAGGTCAATAACTTTTATCTTTTTAATGATGCTGGAGCTGGAGGCCATTTTTAAATAACCACAATAAATAAACATGACATTGGTCTCCTTAATTATCCCATCTTTTGTGCTGGAAATCTATCTATCTCACCATAAAATTAAAATGTTTAATTTAAAATAAAAAAAGGTAAATGACAAAGAAAACAGAACAAAAGTTTGACTTAAACTTAAGTAATAATCTCAGATAGCTCAGTCAGTTGGCGCTCTAATCCAATCACTTCTTAATCTCCATTTAAAGCAGCTGAGCATTGGCTCCACCAAATTAAAGCCTAAAGTGTTAAATTAAACATAGAACTAGGGCTGCACCTAAAAATTATTTTGCAAAATGATTAATTTGTTACTTTTTCAATTAATCAATGAATAATTGGATAGCCAAAGGTTACTTGAAGATTTTTTTTAAATGAAACTAAAATGTTTCTGCTTGTAGAGTTCTAGATAGAGCATGCTGACAGAGGAAAAGCTTTTCTTTTGATATAATTACTGCTTTAAGTGGGTCGCTCTGTCAGCTAAAGTCTCTACATTCCATTTAAAGATTGGTCGATTGCTAAATTAGTTGACGATTATTTCAACAATCGATTACTCACAATTAACTGGATTAATTGTTTCAGCCATAAATACAATTTTATATAGTAGGGGGTGATAAAAAAAGATTCAGTACAAATATTAAAACTGGTTAGTTCACAACATTAAAATGAGTGGACTGTTTGTTCCACAGGCAGTAGAGTGGTAATAAAAGAAAGATGAGGTTCTAAGCCATCGAGACGAATACAAAAATGATAATTGTGGAAAAAATAATGACAAATAAAACTCAAAGTCCAGTGGATTGTTTTTTAACGTTTTTTGAGAGACTACGACCTAGATGACTGAGAATCTTCACCAGCATAAGTTGGCAACACAGTTTCTGGTAATGGGAAGAAAGTTTATGGTGTTTGACCTGCAGGCGCTCAGACAGCGGCAGGGTGGAGTGCTGCAGCAGGATGGAGGTCTCTAGGTCCTTACTGGTCCTGGTGACTGTGGCGCTGCTGGTTCTGCCTTTCCCCGCCCTGTTTGCCATGACGTGTTCTGACAGCCGACGATCGTGGGACTCATCCGGGATGTCCAGAAGAAGAAACACGACATCGAAGCGGGACAGAAGGGCTGAGCCCATTCTACAGACACACAGAAAAACATAAGAACTACTCCAAAAAGACGTCCACCTTCCAAACACCTCAAACCATACCGGTGTTGTTTAGAAAAACTGACTTTAAATTCTCTGAGACGGTCTTCCCTCTGTTGTAGTGCCCTCCGATGGGGTTGGCAGCGGCAACAACAGACGTCCTCGCCGGCAGAGAAGAGACAATGCCGGCTTTAGCCAGACTCACTGACTGCTGCTCCATGGCTTCCAGCAGAGCCTGCTGCTGGCTGCCCAACTTATCGAACTCATCGATGCAACAAAGACCTAAAAGATACAAAGAAAACTGACAGATATAAGCTGTCTACTAAAAACAGACAACACAGACTTTTACAATTTATAAAGACATGTTATAGAAATTATAGAAAAAAACACCAATAGTTGTGTTAAAGCAGCACTTTGTAACTTCACCCACTAGTGGCGCTAGACCTGCAACTCCTAGAGGAAACCAGCATCACAGTGCTGTTGCAAAATGAACCAGCCTGTCTGCCAGCAGAATGAAGCTGTGACTGAACGTCCGCCCTGATCCCTATGTTACCATGATTACCCCTCTCAGGGATTTTTCGTTCCTCAGGGACTTGTCACACCTTGCCGATTAAGCCAGTGGATGCCTGACGTCCAAGAATATCCTAAAACGCTGGCATACGCTGAACTTTCTATGTATTTTTTTTTACATTTTGGGCGTATACATAGAGTATTCATAACGAGTCCAGAGCGTTTGTCCAACGACAGCCTAACTTATGCATAACACACGGCAGTGTAATGCTCATGAAATAATGCACAATTCATGGCCATTATGAAGCATTGGTTAAAGCTCAGGTGCAGTGATGTGCCTGAGGGGGGCAGTAATGTGCCCGGAGGCCCCCGGTCTGCATAAAAACATGTCTTTGATTGCCGTATTAACCTAGCTGCTGTTTACCGCCGCCAAAAAAAAATAAATAAATTAAATAAATTAAAAAGGAAAAGAAAGAAAGAAGGTTAGGCTCACCCTATGATGGGGATGAAGTCTGGAGAAGAACTGACAGTTTCCTCCTGTGAACCCCCTTTATACCAAAACACTGCCAATACAGCATTATATAGTAGCTGGAAGTTACGAGCAGTTACAAGTTTAGCGCTCGTCTGTAACACTTCAGATACGTTGATATGCGTTGGAGATAAGTACTTGATAAGTTATGCATAAGTTAAGCACAAGGTACTCAGAGGTTTTGGATAAGCTAGACACCCCAACTTATGAGTATCTTACAATCAACTAGGGATGGAACGGTTTATGAAAACCGTCCGAACCGTTCAGTTCGACTGTCTCGGTTCGGTTCACGTGTGTTTCGTTCGGTTCATGCGCTGCTCCTTTTTCTCATAGGCGAAGCGTTTACACTCCAGAGCAGAAGGTGGCGGTACTGCGACCAAAGCCAACCACCAGTAGTAAACAAGAAGAAGAAGAAGCGAAGCAGCGTAGCCGGGTGTAGCAGGGAAAAAATCAGTTGTTGTGGAGAACTGTGTGGGTATGGCGAGTGGGAAAGAACTGGAGTTGGAAGACGCGGCAGCAGCAATTTATAGGTCTGCTGTATGGGACCACTTTGCATTTAGAGTGACCTACGATGACGGCGGAAAGAAAGATGTGGATAAAAGTGCAACAGTGCGCAAGCATTGTGCAACACGTTTTGTTTATGCTAACAGCAACATGACCAACATGTCAGGCTAACCCCGAAATTCCCTCATACTCCATTAGCGCTCCGCCCCGCTGCGCTCCAGACCGGCTGCTCAAAGCAAAGCCTACAGCCTCCGCTGTGGCTCCCGTCCGCTCTGCTCTGAGTTCCTTGGAGATGGTAGAGAGCATGCGCCAGATGATTAAATTCAAAGCAGCAAAACATGCAGAAATGATGCAGGGTTTCCGCGGATCATTAAAAATAATTACAATTCATAAATTGTTGGGGATTTTTTCATTAATTTTTATGGGATTTCGAGGTAACAATCAACATATACCGAACCGAAAACGAAACCGTGAACCGAACCAAACCGTGGATTTTGTGAACCATTCCACCCCTACAATCAGAGTATGTCAATGATCAGGTAACTAACCTGGAACTTATGGCCCACCTATGGCATGCTTCAGCATGTCCTACTAGCTTCTGCTTACTCATAACTTATCCATACGTATCCATACCTTATCCAACTTATGGCAGCGTTTTTGCCAGACTTTTCATAAGTCCAGAACACGCTGGTCTAAATCATCAAGGTGTGACAGGGGCTTTAGTGAGAGTTGGGCTGTTGTATACCTGCAAAAAAACCTAGGAAAAGGCAGTTCTGTTTACAATTCAGATCTGAATTAGAGAGAAGACTGATTCAGATTAATTTAAAAGTCAGTGGAAAAATGTTAACAGCAAAGCTGATTGTAGTTTTTGTGCCACCTGAATGCCAAACTGTTGGCTGAACTTTTTTGGAAGAAACATGGTTGGAAAAAAACCAAAAAGAGATTAAAGAAAGCCACCGTTTTTCAGTTAAGGAATTTTAATTTTTATGCATTTAAAAAAAATTTTTTTATGACAACAAAGACCGCACAATTTGAATAGGGTTTATCTGTTTTAACAATAAATGACTGTTTCCAAGTTTGAAGACGTTTCTCTTCCATCCAGGAAGCTTTTTCAATTCAAAATGTCAGAAATAGCGTTGAGTTCCAGGTTTTATACAGTAGCTCAACAAAGCCTTGTTCTAGTTTTGGAAACATGCATATTGGAACGGACGAACGGGTCCACCTCTTAAAGGGGATTGTTGGCCTGGCTGAATAGGCGAGGTCCTTTCCCGCACAGCCCCAGCCCCAGAATCTTCACCAGCATATTTCTTACGTTATTTAAATGTTTTTTTTACAGAGGATGTCGGCAGAAATTTGGGCATTGATTAGGCTGCTGGCAGCGGCTGACACGCTCACGAAGGCTGTGAACGAGCGGGACCAGGATATGACCCGCATGCTGGGTGCGTTTGAACGCAGGCTGGCTGCGGTGGTTGAACTCAAAGGTGAGATGGGATAATATCTTGCATGTGCATGCTCGCCTCAAGGCGGAAAAGCCCAACACATTTGGAATATTAGTCTCACAATGAAAGAGCCAGCAAGAAAAGACTCCAGGCTGAAGGAAATTCCTGTGCAGCCTGTTCTCAAAACAATGAGTGTTATTCTGGATTCAACCTACCGCCTTTATCTAATCTCCCCTGGATGTTATGGCGAAAGGGCAACAGAAGAACTGCTGCCCCCCTCCCGTACCCGCTAACATCTGTGGATGCGCTCAGTGACTGTTGATAAACTTCCATCTCATCAAGGACATTGCCTGTGGTAAGCGTTCATGAACATATTGAAAGCATTCATCATACACACACAACTAATGTCTCAAATGTCAGATTGACTTCATGTGACTCCACCTCTGATGTGACTCTCTGCTGAAATGTCTGTCTCGTGTTTTTATGTACTTTTATTGGGCTGAGGTTTTTTGATATCTTAAGCAATATCCTGTCAAGCATAAAGTGTGAAATATGCTTTTTTCCCCCTCCCTTCCCCAATGTGGCTCCTATCTTTCCACAGAGATAAAGGCAGCGCCATAGGTAACTGCCTGGCACCTGGGAAGCCAGGTAACCTGTGGGAAGCTGGCAAGCCATAAGAATCACTACTAGCAGCGTTCTGCTGCATGCATGGCCTCAGTAAATCAATTCCCCCTCTCAGCCCCCCCACCCCAATGTATGTAATGTAGTATGGTGAACGGTTTGAACTGAAACTGAAATTTCGATTGCAACCTAAATTGTAGTTGACAATAAAGATTGATTGAGTATCTTTGAACCCCAGTCGGCTTCAGCAGATGGCCCCTCACACTGGTTCTGCTGAAGGTTTCTTCCTGTTTAAAAGGGAGTTTTTCCTCTCCACTGTCGCTACAAGCATGCTTAGTGTGAGGGATTGCCTTTGAGTCAATGAGTCGATGCAATCAGCTGGTTTTCCTTAAATAGAACATTTTGAATCAACCTTACTGTATGATCTGATTGAATTGTCTCTATAAAGTGCCTTGAAATGACGTGTTGAGAATTGGCGCTATAAAAATAAACTGAATTGAACTGAATTGAATTACAATGCAAATTCTAGTTGACAAATATTGATTGACTGCTTGATTGAAACAGAGATATTTTTACTACCTTGGTCAGCCAGCACTAAGGCACCTGCCTCCAGAGCGTAATCTCCTGTTCCTGCCTCTCTGGACAGACTCACCGTTAGTCCTACAGAAACAAAAACATTGAAAGTTACATATGGAACCAAACTATCACAACCAGAACTAAACATGGTATTTAAAACAGGTTCAGTTATAGTAAAAAGAAGGTACATCCTCTGTCAGTTCTAGGATTCTATGTATCTGTGCATATAGGCTTCAGCAGGTTAAGCAATTTGAATCAAACCTTTAGTGGATAAAAAAAAAAAACATTCTATGCTGTAATGATTCATTAAACAGGGTAACACCAAAGTGAAGAAGCTTTTATTAGGTTCAAATAAAAGCCTGGAATTATAAAGGGGCGAGATTCGTTTTATCCTGACTGTGATTTGAGAGGCACAAAGTAAAGATTTAAATTTTAAAGCCGTTTCACCTGTGGTGCTTGTGCTATTGCCGCAGACATAGATTCCCCTGGGAGCCACGTTACACACTGCCTTAAAGATGAAGAAAAGAAACCCAAATCATATCAATGCTTTTACTCTCTTATACTTTTACTTCTACTTCCTGCCAGTTCTTTTGTACCTGTAACATTTGACTCTTTCCCAGTCCAGGATCTCCCACTATCAGGATGTGTGGATCTCCTCTCACTGGCACACTGCTCTTATCTGTATGTTTTTGTCTGCCTCCAAATAACGCCAAAGCCAGGGCAGCTTTCACCAGCTAGTAATGCATAGTAACATAATAAGATAAATGAAAGGATGACAAAAACACTTCCTGAGGGCTGAGGGGCAGAAACATGCAATAAATCAACTGAAGTCTGCACTCACAAGATGGCCGTAGATGACAGGACACAGGGAGCTGAAAGAGGTCAAATTCAAAACAGTCAAAGCTTTATTTCAATAGTGCCAGTTCAGACATTTCAATCAGATCATAGTCTGATATATACACTATATTGCCAAAAGTATTTGCTCACCTGCCTTGACTCACATATGAGCTTAAGTGACATCCCGTTCCTAATCCATAGGGTTCAATATGACGTCGGTCCACCCTTTGCAGCTAGAACAGCTTCAACTCTTCTGGGAAGGCTGTCCACAAGGTTTAGGAGTGTGTTTATGGGAATTTTTGACCATTCTTCCAGAAGCGCATTTGTGAGGTCGCACACTGATGTTGGACGAGAAGGCCTGGCTCTCAGTCTCCGCTCTAATTCATCCCAAAGGTGTTCTATCGGGTTGAGGTCAGGACTCTGTGCAGGCCAGTCAAGTTCATCCACACCAGACTCTGTCATCCATGTCTTTATGGACCTTGCTTTGTGCACTGGTGCACAGTCATGTTGGAAGAGGAAGGGGCCAGCTCCAAACTGTTCCCACAAAGTTGGGAGCATGGAATTGTCCAAAATGTCTTGGTATGCTGAAGCATTCAGAGTTCCTTTCACTGGAACTAAGGGGCCAAGCCCAGCTCCTGAAAAACAACCCCACACCATAATCCCCCCTCCAACAAACTTTACACTTGGCACAATGCAGTCAGACAAGTACCGTTCTCCTGGCAACCGCCAAACCCAGACCCGTCCATCAGATTGCCAGATGGAGAAGCGCGATTCGTCACTCCAGAGAACGCGTCTCCACTGCTCTAGAGTCCAGTGGCGGCGTGCTTTACACCACCGCATCCGACGCTTTGCATTGCACTTGGTGATGTATGGCTTGGATGCAGCTGCTCGACCATGGAAACCCATTCCATGAAGCTCTCTGCGCACTGTTCTTGAGCTAATCTGAAGGCCACATGAAGTTTGGAGGTCTGTAGTGATTGACTCTGCAGAAAGTTGGCGACCTCTTCGCACTATGCGCGTCAGCATCCGCTGACCCCGCTCCGTCAGTTTACGTGGCCTACCACTTCGTGGCTGAGTTGCTGTCGTTCCCAAACACTTCCATTTTCTTATAATACAGCTGACAGTTGACTGTGGAATATTTAGGAGCGAGGAAATTTCACGACTGGATTTGTTGCACAGGTGGCATCCTATCACAGTTCCACGCTGGAATTCACTGAGCTCCTGAGAGCGACCCATTCTTTCACAAATGTTTGTAAAAACAGTCTGCATGCCTAGGTGCTTGAATTTATACACCTGTGGCCATGGAAGTGATTGGAACACCTGATTCCAATAATTTGGATGGGTGAGCAAATACTTTTGGCAATATAGTGTATATATATATATATATATATATATATATATATATATACACTATATTGCCAAAAGTATTTGCTCACCCATCCAAATTATTGGAATCAGGTGTTCCAATCACTTCCATGGCCACAGGTGTATAAATTCAAGCACCTAGGCATGCAGACTGTTTTTACAAACATTTGTGAAAGAATGGGTCGCTCTCAGGAGCTCAGTGAATTCCAGCGTGGAACTGTGATAGGATGCCACCTGTGCAACAAATCCAGTCGTGAAATTTCCTCGCTCCTAAATATTCCACAGTCAACTGTCAGCTGTATTATAAGAAAATGGAAGTGTTTGGGAACGACAGCAACTCAGCCACGAAGTGGTAGGCCACGTAAACTGACGGAGCGGGGTCAGCGGATGCTGACGCGCATAGTGCGAAGAGGTCGCCAACTTTCTGCAGAGTCAATCACTACAGACCTCCAAACTTCATGTGGCCTTCAGATTAGCTCAAGAACAGTGCGCAGAGAGCTTCATGGAATGGGTTTCCATGGTCGAGCAGCTGCATCCAAGCCATACATCACCAAGTGCAATGCAAAGCGTCGGATGCGGTGGTGTAAAGCACGCCGCCACTGGACTCTAGAGCAGTGGAGACGCGTTCTCTGGAGTGACGAATCGCGCTTCTCCATCTGGCAATCTGATGGACGGGTCTGGGTTTGGCGGTTGCCAGGAGAACGGTACTTGTCTGACTGCATTGTGCCAAGTGTAAAGTTTGGTGGAGGGGGGATTATGGTGTGGGGTTGTTTTTCAGGAGCTGGGCTTGGCCCCTTAGTTCCAGTGAAAGGAACTCTGAATGCTTCAGCATCCCAAGACATTTTGGACAATTCCATGCTCCCAACTTTGTGGGAACAGTTTGGAGCTGGCCCCTTCCTCTTCCAACATGACTGTGCACCAGTGCACAAAGCAAGGTCCATAAAGACATGGATGACAGAGTCTGGTGTGGATGAACTTGACTGGCCTGCACAGAGTCCTGACCTCAACCCGATAGAACACCTTTGGGATGAATTAGAGCGGAGACTGAGAGCCAGGCCTTCTCGTCCAACATCAGTGTGCGACCTCACAAATGCGCTTCTGGAAGAATGGTCAAAAATTCCCATAAACACACTCCTAAACCTTGTGGACAGCCTTCCCAGAAGAGTTGAAGCTGTTCTAGCTGCAAAGGGTGGACCGACGTCATATTGAACCCTATGGATTAGGAACGGGATGTCACTTAAGCTCATATGTGAGTCAAGGCAGGTGAGCAAATACTTTTGGCAATATAGTGTATATATATATATATATATATATATATATATATATATATATATATATATATATATATATGAGCAGTTGGACAGGTGAACCTAATTAAGTGGCCGGTGAGTGTATATACAAATATATAGATATATATATACATATACCTCTCACTTTTTCGCCCTCATGTCCCTCCGTTTTCACACAAACATGCCCCCACTTCCTCACTGCCTCGGCCAGATCTAGACCCACAGCTAGTCCCTGATTGTCCCTCTTGTATTGTGGCGTGGAATAACATAGCGCAGACCACGCCTCAATATTGGGCATAAATCTGAAATATCTGCAACAAGCTGACTGCGACACACTGCTGAGGGAATATTACCAGCCCTTTAGCCGTTAACTTTTTGGCAGAACATCACTGTTTGGCACGACAAATGTGAACCATCAGTGTGCAGAGGAAGGCCAAACTTGGAGCTAATCGAGAGCAATGATGCATTTCTGCACAAGCACAGCTGGAAGAGCAAAGGTGGTCTGGAAACGGAAAATTCCGAATTACTTTCACCCATGCTGCAGCTACCACACCCCCTCTGTGTTACCTGGCAACTCCGCCCACGCAGAATGTTCAGCATTCTAAGTGGGCGGGCATTATGATGTCATAACATATCATACATAGAAGACAGCCCAGTCATAAGCCAGTTTGTGTTTCAGAGCAGTTTGATCGAGAGCTAGTTCCCAACACAGGAAAACCTTTTTGGAAAACATTTTTAGAGATTCATTTTAAGTCTTCAAAATGCTTTCAAATATTTACAAAGACAATATGGACAGGGAGAATAACTTCTTTTTGGAGTCTGACTTTAACAACAACAGTTCTTATGTTCTTGAGGCGTTGAGAAATCACATGTTTTTGACAGACGACAGGTTGGGACTCACATCATTAAATCCCCAACAAATTCTATTCAATTTTGATGAATTTTCGACCAACAACTCTGAAGCTCAAAGCTCCTCTTCTGACAACATTTACAGTGTCACTTCAGGCAACTACGACTCACCCAAAGATAATTTCTTTCCTGCTAGGACCGGAGAAATCCCAGAAAGCTTGCCCATGCACTCATATCACAGGACCTCATCAAATTGGTCCAGCGGAAACAGCTCTCCTCAAAGATACCCATACCTTTGGTCCGAATTATGCTCAGAACCCAGTACTGTGACACCCCAACTCTACTCTAAAACCTCTGGTCTACAAGATTATTCAATGACCTTCTTGACTGCTGGTGGTACACAGCCAACTGATTGCGGGAGACCGTGTGAAAAATTCTCGGAGAATGATTTTGTTTTGGAATCAGAAATAAGCAAATACTGCGTTGTGGCAAATCTGGGCGAAGGAGGAACTGCAAAAATCTTCGAAGGTATAAACCAAGAAACCGGAGAGATTGTTGCAATAAAAACAGCAACAGATGTCTGGGAAATTGACATAACCGAGGAAAAAAAGGTCTTAAGGAAAATCAAAGCGCTTGGTTCGGACAACTACTACATAGTCAAGTTTTTTGAAGATTTTAACTACAAAGCAAAACAATACCTGGTGTTTGAAAAGCTGGATATTGATTTAGACAGTTTTACAGAACATATTGTAGGTGGTGGACTACATTTGAGTGATATTCGAGTTATTGCTCAACAGGTTCTGGTAGCTTTAAATTTTCTACATAGAAATGGAATGGCGCATAGAGATCTCAAGCCTAACAACATAATGCTGGTAGACCGCTCGTCACTTAAAGTAAAATTAATCGATGTGGGTTTCACTCAGGAGATAGAAACAATGGAAAATATTAGGTGTAATCCTCTGCTGTACATGCCTCCAGAGGAAATTATGCTCATAAAGCCAGATGCAAGTGTGGATATGTGGTGTCTAGCCCTCACTTTGATCTTTCTCTACATTGGAGAACACCTGTTCGAGTATGACGGCATGGAAGAAACATTGGCAGCAATTGTTAAAATGTTGGGTGAACCACATTGTAGTTATACTTGTTCCTCTGCTTGTGAAAACGATTTCAGGGATTATGATCCCGAGTTGAAGCTAAATTCTTTGTATGACCTGATGAAAATCCGACCACCAACGCAAGACCCCATTGAATGGGAGGATTTACTAAGTTTTATCGACCTTCTAAAACAAATGCTAGTTACTACACCACAGGAGCGTATTACATCAGCAGCCGCACTGGAGCACAGCTTTATTACAATGAACCACTTGTCGGACTTTAACAGCAACAGTTCTTATGCTCATGAGGCCTACGAGGCAATGAGATATTACACATTTTTTAAGGCAAATTGGTCCAGCGAAAACGGCTCTCCGCAAAGATACCCATACCTTTGGTCCGACTTATGCCCAGAACCCCCTACTGTGACACCCCAACTC